AGAAATCTTGGCTAGGCCTCGTAATCTGTGAGGTCAGGAAGAGAGCACTGCAACAGCGTAAAGCCCAGAGGTTTCATACTTCAGTCAGGCCACACAAGCTTTTAGTAAAGAGTTTTGCAGAAGGAGGTGAAGATTTGGAGTCAAATACCCAGAATCCAGCAGGGGGCTTCTCCTGGTCCTGGGACGGAGGGGGAGGGGTGTAGGAAAGGGCTGCAGATACTGCTCTGGCCTTATAGCTCAAACTGTCAAATGAGATTGAGGTCAGTAAAAGTCTGGCAGTGCCCCAGAGATTCCTCTCCATTCATACCATCTTTACTTCTCTGAAGAAAAAGCCAGGGCTTACAGGTCTTACAGAAGAGTCATAGGCCTTTGTAAGCTGGACTAAGTGGTCCATTTTTGGTGTTAGAACAAATCTCCTCCACTCGTAGACAAAGCATTACTGAACTGTAGTTACAGATGTGCTATGGGAGGATCACATCACTTCAATATGGACAAATAGTGAGGTTTAACCCTTAGAAGTCTATAGTTACTGTAGTTCTGCCTTTATGTTCTGTTTACATAATTATTTAAATATAATTACATAGTTATGTTTTATTTACAGTCAATTTATATTCTGAATAATCAGGATTAAGTTTGCACTTCTGTCAAATAATGTCAGAAAAGCAAAACAAGGCTGTCCACACAGCAACAACATTTAATCAGATTTGTAATGAATCATAAGAAATAATCTCCCCTTTCAGTCTAGAATCCACAGTTCCACAAAGGGCTGCAACACACATACAATAATATTAAAAAAATAGAATAATCTAGCTGTTCAGAGCTAGGCGAGGGTTGCCAGATTGGGCAGGATCAGCATTTTGAGGCAACCTGCTATGAAATAATTATTTAAGTTATTTTTTTCACTGCCTTTCATTTCAACTAAGTTTTATTATAAAGCAAAATAAATAAATACAATTTATGATGGAAACAAATACTGAATATAGTTGATCAAATTCACATAAAAGCTTGTTTAATATTGTTGTGAATTAAAAGAAGTATGATAAATTATGATGGAAGTGAATTTACTGAGTAAATAATGCACACTCCCAGGAAAACAAATTACTAAACTGTACTATTTTGGGTAACACTGGGGTGCTAGCCTTCAAGGTACGTCTTTAGTACCTTTAATCAGGGAATATAATTCTAACATATTCTGTTGCACTTCTTCTGTCTTGACTCTAGGCTTTTTATTTTATTTTCCTCCTTCAAAAGGACAAAACAGTACAAATATCCCCTTTCCTCTGGCAAAGTGAATGTAGTGTACCTTGACAACTAATGTGAGGTCTGCCATTGTAACTGTGTGACCACATCTGTTCATTGCACCTTGCAGGACAAAACTGTACCTGTGCAGCGCCTTCATTTCAGTGAGAATAATGTCATGACTTAATATAAGTACTAACACATTTCCATTGTTGCCTGGCTGTAGCTACAAAACATGACAGAGGGGAGCAGATGCTACTGAACTAATGAAAGAATGGAGTCCTTTACCTTAGAAAAAGACGAACAGTTGTAAGCAAAAGTTTGGACGCCCCCAAAAGTTTCTAAGTGAAAATAAGCTAACACATCTTCAACAGGGAACAAAATTGAATGTGGTATTTTTCTGCAGATGTTAGCGCCCAATTTCTATTTCTTTGCTGAGGTTAACCTATTGGAAAAAATACAACATCAATATAAAATGTACTTTAATTTTTGCACAGGTCATATTTTCCCCAATATGTTAAATTTGCAAATAAACAGCAATTGTCCATTAAAATTTGCAGAAGTGTGTTCTCTGTAGAGGACGAGAACTTATGTTCACTTAAATAAAATTGTAAATTGACCAGGGGCACGCAAACTTTGCATATAACTGTGACATTAGATGTCAACAGATTAGATAAAAGTGCTCAAAGCTGATTGATGGACACATACTGAGTGGTAAATAAAACATACATGTACGGTATTTATAAAGTTTTGTTCATTTACAGAAATAAAATGTAAATTTACAAAATAAAATGATCGCCTTTATTTTTACACACATTACTGCTATCATTATGGTAAAAATACTGTACATCAGAATAACTAGTTGAACTAGTGAAATTACAGAAGAAGACAGTTTTTCTAAAATATTAAATTATTTTATTTATTTTTTTTTACAGATGACATCTTATGATATCAACCTATTAAATTCAAAGAAAACAGCACTGAGAAGCTGCTCAACATTGAACATTTTTGTTCTTCATTTGAAATGGAAACTTGGCTAATTACAACAGGCTTTAGTTACCACCAGCAACAACTGAGACTTCTAAGGGTTAATTCATTAGTTGAAGTGACTTTTCAGTAAACATTGTTGCTCTATTTTATCCTTAAGAGTTAACTTGTTCTGATCAGTATACAGTCTGGATGAAAGGTCTGTGAGTCGATGCTATGATGGTGGTGTTGGTGGTGCCAGGACAGACTGCATGTGAGTGTGAGTGTGCCGTGAGCATAAGAGAAACCGGACGTCCTGTACAGTTGAACAGGGGCAGGAAGTAAGGTCATGAATGCTTGAGGATATTTATGAGGATACACAGGAAAGGAAATGACTGAAATGCTTCACCCACAATCACTCCCTTAGAGACAGAGAACAGTGAGACCATACTGACACGGAGAGGATTATCACTCAGTCGAAAAGACCATATTTCTACGACAGCTATTGACAAAAAAAAGCAGCGCTCGACAAGACGCTGTCCAGTACTGATTTATAATACAGTAATCTGTAAAGCTCTAAAGCTCTTTGGGCATGTAGCACTTACATAATTTACTCTGTGGAGACAGATGAAGGCTCGATTGATTTTTATACAGCCAGCGCATATCTGGAGGAGGCAACGTCTTTGGGATTTCTGTACTATATTTGATCTCAGACTTCACTTTGCACAGTTAGAATATGTATCGTTAAGCCCAGTTCGCACTCATCTGACGAGATGAGATGAGACAGCCTTAGAATGCTTTAAAAGGCAGTTTGATCAGTGTGGACAGTGTGGTTTTTAAGTCTGGATCCCAGAGATTTATAAAGTTTTGGGCCCCAGTTTTAGAATGTTACTTTCTCTTTATCATGCAGTACTGTTCAAAAGTCAGAGACTACTCTTCATTTGTGTCCTTTCCAGTCAAAGCACCCATTTAGTACTTTCGTTTATTCATTTTTCAGAGTCAGGAAAAAAAGGACTCAACAATTAAGCATAATTTCACATTTTCTCAGTTTTATTGTGTTCACTCTTTGCCTTTATTACAGCTTCCATTCTTTTCAGGAGACTTGCTTTCAGTTTTTTTTTAAAAATCTGCAGGGATATTCTTCCACACCTCCAAAGTTCTGTCTTACAAGCTGGTTAGGTTTTCTGCTTCTCATACATGCAGTGATGTTAACAGCCTGGACTCTGGGGTGGTCAGTCTATTGCTATGAGAACACCAACAGCTTCTATGTTTGATGTACAAATATTCTTTCTTGTTTTGTCTGTTCGCTTTTCTCAGTAAGGGCTTCTTGGCAACTACACTTCCTTTCAGACCCACAGTGTTGAGTGGTGTTCTTACAGTCAAAAGATGGACAGAAACACCTGTGGATCTTTTCATACCTGAAACAAGAGTGGAGCTGTACATTCTAACCACTGTTTTCATTTTTGGAAAAGCAGTTTTACAGTCTTTTTTTGTTTTGCTTTTTATCTAACTTATCTTCCTTTGACTTTCTTCTTCCTTATGTCAGCGGACCTCCTCTTCTTCTTCTATCTAATTTCTTCATAAATATCTCCTTATACACAAATAACTTGTTTTGCAACTAATGTTTTGACTGAAAATTAAATAAAAGAAGGAGGGCTTTGACCTTTGCACTGTACTTTAATGTATTATTTGTCAAAGAAATTTGGATTTTTGTGTATATGGAGTCCAAGGGCAAAAGTCGATGAAAATTTGAGGGCACAGTATAAGTATATGTGTCTTTCGCCTTCAGTTGCTGATAAAGATAAACTTCAAACTGCTAGTTTATTCTTCTGTTTCTAATTGTAATACTAATTTTTCAATAAATACTATGAAACTAATATGTAAATTACATGTAAATGAAAGTGAGAATTTGAATATACACACCCTTAGAACTGAAGTGGCAAATTGGCATGTTGACAGAACTGTCCCATCACCCAGTGACCAACCCAAACTGGCATAAAAACCTGTTTTTTTTATGCTTTTTTGCAGTTTTTTAGGTTTTTTAAGTTGATCAACTAGGCAAGCAGAGAGATATTTCTCATTGTTATCCTTATTTAGCCACTTTGAAGGATTGATTCAAATGAATGAATAACCCTGAAAAAAAGTCGCCAGTGTTTTCTACATACAAGCTTTACTTGGGTGCCCCTCCCCCTCCCCTAAAGTACGTTAATGGCAACCCAAGAATATTCTGTTCTATTTTAATAATATCCAATTTCAAATCTGTCACATTTTAGCAAATTCCAAAAATAAAATATTTTGTATTTTCATTAATTAACAATGCAAAGTATCACTTTTTTCTCTGTTGTAATTTCTATAATCTTAAACTTCACTTAATCAAGTAGCTACATGAGGTGCTTCTAATGATGAAAAACTTGTAAACTTGTCACAATTTACTACATAATAAGTAAACAAATGATGAGTTTGGATATCCACATATTCAAGTAACCTCCCTCACCTCCCTGATGGTGCTCCCCCAGGTTTGTTTCAGAAACACTGCTGGGAAATACTGCTACAATCATTGCTTGAGTGTGATCACTGGGTTTTATTAACAGTGTTCTTCAAAACTGTTTATATTCTAAAACGCTCCAAAACTCTGTTGTCTCATCATGTCAGATAACTGTGAACTGGGCTTCAGAGTCCTCCTCAGACTTAGTCGTAGATGCAAACGACCAGCACATTCTGACGTTGAATATAGTCAGGTCCTTTGATTATGCAGATCAATACCAGCACAAATGTGTGTGGGTGTGTGATCTTACCATTATAACAGACACTCCAGCGGAGGTGTTGCCCTGCTTCTGAGCAGAGGTAAAGTGCTTCTTCAGTTTCCCCGTCACCTCCATCTTCATGTTGTTTTCCATAGCAGCGTCATCCTGATGCGCATTTACAGAAGGTTTAAATATTATCAACAAAAAAAAAACCTCACACAAATCGCTTAATGAACAGTATTTGACATTTACAGAAGATAACACCGCAATGGTGAATTTACGTAGAATCAATCTGTATATTGTTCATTGAAACAGTAAAATAACTATAGTTTGCTAATAAATGAGAACACACACGCTCACCGTGACCCAGGGATGACACAGTACATCTTCGGCTGTGTATCTGGCCTCAACATTCACTTGGAGCATCCGGCCAATCAGCTCCTGCAAAACAGACCATGTGACGAGATTGGTATTTAGAATGCTTAACTGTTATGAATTCCACAATTAATGGCCGCTCTTAAAGTCAGTTGACTAAATAGCGAATGAGTAAGTTAGCCATTCATGACACAGCAACTGTGCAACGCTTGAAATTCAGACAATGTTCTATTTATATAAAAATATCTCAGCCAAAAAAGAAAAATATGTAAGTTACTTTTCCCCTTTTATGAAGGGGAATACAGTTTGGGCACCCCGGGTCATTTTAATGCACAATTTCTGCACATTGTAATGCACAATTACTGTTTATTTGCTAAATTTTGCTAATTTGAAAAACAATTACATGAAATCTGGCACATTTTATGAGCATTAGTCCAGTTTTTTTTGTTTCTTTTTTCCCATTTTTTTTTTCCAGTATGTTAAACTCAGCAAATAATCAGAAACTAAAATGTGCAGAGAATACCATATTTACAATGATCCCTGCAGTTATTTTTACTTTGAATATCAACAAATCACATTATTTGACCAAGAGTGTTCAAACTTTTGCATGTAACTGTACAAGATAATTCTTGTGGGGCCAAGTGCTTCCATGGTAGAAAAACCTGGTGACCAGCATGACCAGCATATGTTGTGTTCTGGAGGGTGGTATGCTGGTCAGCAGCAATGGAAGCTGTTATGCTGATCACCACCAAAACAAGCACATGTTGTGTTTTAGATGCTGGTATGCTGGTCAACCAGCATGACCACCAGCGAAACCAGCACCAGAGTTGTTTTTTTTTTAAGTTGTTTTTTTAGCAGGGATGAAAACATTTGCAGACACTCATGAGAGATTTTGCACTAAATGTGGGTGAAAACATAGAAATATTAGGGTGGGAACAAACTGAGCGAGAACTCTTCATTAAGGCACAGTTTAAATTACACTTTTGGCTGCATTGTCTGACAAACAGCAAGCCTGTCGTTAGCACGTAGCTTATCATAAGTTAGCAGGGCTGAAAAGTCTCCCCAAAAGACTCCAGTTAACCACGTAGATGTGCATCGAGTGTGTGGAGAACATATTACATGCAATAAAAATAGACATAACCTCTTGCAAAGGAAAAACAGTTTCATTAGCTCATGATAGCATTTCACTAGCTAGCTTGCTTTGCTTGTGTTACTGATTGCCCTTCAGATGTTTAAAGAGGACAGACTAGGGGAATTTGGGGTGAGTCTTAGAGGGGATGTATCCTTGTTCACGGTGGATTTTAGTGCAATCCAGGAAGCTGTAACAAGCTGTCCCCAGATGTGTATTCTCATTATGAGATCATGTCTGGCCCTGTGAATTGTTAAGCCTGGCTGTTCCCGAGAAAGGATTTTCGTATTTGATCAAAAAGCCTTATTTTCAACTACAAGCCAACTAATCAGCCCCACCCCCAAAGCATTGATCTATGGAATCTTTACAGATTTTTATGGAACTTCTTTAAATGGAACACCATGCACTGTACTGTAACTACAACGCTATGACTGATTAGTCATCGGACAGCGGACAGCCCTGGTGCTAACTGTCTCTAACATGATGAATGTTGGAAATAAACCATGCTGAGTCTTCACTGGATTGAAGCCCTACAGACATTAGTGAGAGAAAGATTAAATTACTCTATTGGAGCTTCACAATGAACAGTAAAAATGCTCCATCCGAAATCAGTTCATTTGATTAGCTTTGATTAAAGACTATTCATGTGAGCATCCTTTGAAATTGTATCACTTCCCTCTTTGCTGCTGTAAGAAGAGGAAAAGAGCAGCTGCGTAATTAGCTGGGTGACCTTGTGCTGTGTGCTTTGGTGTCACTGTAATACAGCAGGCTAATTTAAGGCATGAACTGCCCTGCTTACACACATCATCATTTACTCAGGCGCACACACACACACCTACACATACCCACATATAAGTCTAAAAACCTCAATTCCAAAAACAACCAGTTTTCAGACCAGTATAAGAAAAGCCGAAAAAAAAGAAGGAAACTTTCTAAAAAAGATGGAACAGGGACACTATAAGACTAGGAACATTGTGAAATGTTCAAAAACATCTTTAACGGGTGATGCAATTATGCTTGGGTATAAAGGGAGCATCCAAGAAAGGCTTAGTCATGTATGGGCAAGGATGTGTTGGCTAAAAATGTATCAGCTAATAATCCATAAGTTTGTGAACAGCGTTCCTCAATGAGTGACTGAAAGGATCTGGGGTATTTTTCCCTCTATAGTGTATAATGTCCTCAAAAGACTCAGGGGATCTGTAGAAATCTCTGTGCATAAAGGGAAAGGCCGAAAACCACAACTGAATAGCTGTGACCTTCGATACCTCAGACGGCACTGCAATAAAAACCAGCATGCTTCTGTGGTGGATACATGGGCTCAGGAATACAAAGCCATATGCCAACAATGTCCAGAAAAGCTGCTGACTTCTGGGCTAGAGCTCATCTGAAATAGACTGATGCACAGAGGAAACGCGTATTGTGTACTGACAAGTCAAACTTTCATATTTTTTTGGAAACACCAGATGTTATGTAATCTGGGCCAAAGAAGAAGAAGACCATCCAGATTATTACTAGTGTAAAGTTCAATAGCCTGGTTCTGTCATGGTATGGGGATGTATTAGTGCTCAGGAGCTCCAAGATATGCTGCCTTCTAGATGACATCTTTTTCAGGGAAGTTCATGCTTATTTAAATAGGACAATGCTAAGCCACATTCTTCATATATTACAATAGCAGGACTGCGTAATTAGAGTGCAGATGCTAGACTGGCCTGCTTGCCGCCCAGAACTGTCTCCTGTTGAAAAAAGTCAGGTGCATAATGAAGCGCAAAATACAACAATGAAGACCCCGTATGTTGTGCAGCTGAAGACTTGTAATTACAGAGGAATGACAAAAAAGTCAGTTTTCAAAATAGGATCAATTAGGCTTTGTTCAAATAACCAGGATGAAGTGGCACAAATCTGATTTTTTGCCCTAGTGTGACGTTATGTTTTCAGAGCAGTGTGGACACGAAAATCGGATCTTTTCAAATATGACCTGAACCACTTTCATGTGTTCATAGATCGCGCATGCGCCATCATTCAGCGTTACCATGGCAGCAGCGGCGAACAGAGGTTAAAGCTTGTAAACAGTGGAAACACAAGACATCTAACCTTTTTTGCCTTATCTTGCTCTAATAATGAGCAGCTAAGAGCTGTTCAGAGCTGCGAAGGCTCGTTCTGCTCGTTAGTTTGATTCATTCACGTGACGTTACTGAGTAGGATGTGCGCATGCGGGTCATATCATGACGCCTGTTTGTTCACATTAGTGACAGATTTCAATCACTTACCTAAATGAGTGTGAACCATTGTGCCAGAGAGATCGGATTTGAGCAAAAAAACGGTCTTCAGTCCCCAAAGCATTATTAGGTGTTGTTAAAAGGACAGCTGATATAACACAGTGGTGAACATGCCACTGTCCCAACTTGTCTTGGAATGTGTTACAGGCAACAAATTTAGCATTTATTTACCAAAAAACAAACAAACAAACAATCAAATAAATAAGAAGGTAAAACATCAAATACTGTGTTTTTGTACTGTTTTCAATTTAAGGTCAAACAGAAATGACTAATCACTGCTTTTAGCATTTCACATACTGTCACAACATTTTTGGAACTGAGCTTTGCAATATTACCCACGTGCCTACGCAAAGAAAGAAGTGATCATGTTCCACAGTGATTTATTCCGTTCCAACTCAAACACACACAGAAATAGAAGCTGAAGTTTGTAGGCTGAGCATTAGCATATTAGCATTAGAGGGGGTGGATTCAAACAGTGCTGTGGAGGAAAGAGAATGTAGGATGAGGAATGAGACTGAGAGAAGGAGTGGGTGTATGTGTGTGTGTGAGTGTATCTAGGCACCAATAAAAGTGATGTATTGATTTTAAAGTGTGTACATAATTTCCATATGAATAAAATACATCAGCACAAATTTGTCAATCACTTCAGTTACATTTTCTGTGTGTATGTGTGTGTGTGTGTGTGTGTGTGTGTGTGTGTGTGTGTGTGTGTGTGAAGTGACAAACTGAGAGAGAAAGAGAGAGAAGGCACACACCTTAGCAGAGTGTGTGATGTTATCCCAGTATGGAGAGGGGAACTCCAGATGGCCCTGCAGTATCTGATCAAACAGGTCCTCCTGCTGGTTATTCTCACTGTAACACACATTATTCATCATAAATACAGGAAAATATTACAAATCTGTGAGCCAAAGGAAAAAAGTATCAGTGCCACAGTAACTACTGGACAGGCAAGTCAACTAATGCCTTAAAACTTAAAAGTCATAGCTATCTCATAGCTCACTGAAACAAGAGGAGAAAGCACAGGTTCAAAACTTTCAATCTATTCCACATTTGTGTTTGTAAGTAGAAAAGGGGACATTTTGAATTTGATAAGAAGTTAGTGTTGTGTAAACAGTCTTGCTTTGCCAAAACAAAACCAATACTTCCCTGTTGTTTTTACTCAAATCTGTCAATAGGAATGTAAATCGAATGTTAATGTCACATATATATATACGTAACCTACAGCAAGGAACAAAGAAAACACGAACAAACACAGCAAGAGCAGGTATGGGGGGGCATGGCATGGCAAAATGGCATGGCATCACCCTCTCACAAGATATTTTTCCTAGGTTATTTTTCCAGATGACTTTTATGATTTAGCATAGCAATATAGCAGCAACCCTCAGAATGTGTGGTTTTACTCATGTCAAATTAGCACTGCCCACCCTCAGACTAGGCTGGAGACATAAGAGGAGACTGAAGAGGGCAGAGACACAATAAGAAACCATGATAGTAAATGTAATTTGGTTTATTTAATTACACAACTACAACAAATCTGAGACCACTAGGGATTTTTTTGAATTCCTTTTTAAAACTAATTTTTTTCATTACAAATAATGCTGTCAGCAAAACAATTTGAGTCAAAAGTAGAATCTTTGAAATATTTACATGAATTTCTGAATTTCGGAGGTATGTCCCCCTTATATTAACGACAGCATGCTGGCATGGATGCCACAAGTTTGTGTACGAGCCTCTGATGATTAGATCAAATCCACCGAAGAGTCATTAGAACATCAGCTTCAATGGAAGAGATGAGACTGTCCTTTTTGTACTTGGTCAAAGTCACAAATTTGCTCAAATTTAAATAGTGACTTAGAAATCAAAATATTCATCATGACTTTTCTTTGTTTTAATTAATGGACATAATAATCAAATTAAAGAAATTAAAAAAAAATTAATTCATTTTTTAATTCTAAAACTGTTATTTATTTCCAGTTTTAAATGGAATAAAGAACATTGTGGTGTCAGATGTTTGGACCCCACTGCATGTGATTAAGTAGTAGCATTTAAATTATATTATAAACAACAATCATATCTATAGACTTTGAAGGTCTCATTTTATGAAGCTTTCCTGAGCTTTTTGGTATTTTCCTTAAACACCTAGTATTATGTATTGCTGCTCATTTTTTCAGTTCATTATATTTTTACACCATTTGCAAGCACTAGCTGTTTTACATTGTGTGAACACTTCAGGATGAGTGCAGCAGTAAAAGTGCATTAATTATATTAATGTAAACTACAGTAAAGAATGTTTTTTCCTCCTTTTATTTCAGAGATAACAAGGTTTGTCTTACAACAGAAACAATATATAAAGACCTTTATTAATGGTTTCCCACGCCCTTTGTTGGATGCTACAGTGTCTGTGGTGTTACAACAGTGACGGAGCTGAATTACCCATCAGTGTCGGTCAGAGTAGGTTTGAGTGTGGACAGTACCTGCGGAAAGGAGGGAAGCCACACAGCAGGATATAGGTGATCACCCCGGCCGCCCAGATGTCCACCTTCAGGCCATAACTATGGCAATCACAGGGCAGGGGCAGAGAGCCATATGGGAGAAAACAGTGTTTTAAAGTCGTTCCTCTCTGAGCTGATATGCAGTATGTTTCTATGTACTACTTTATATTTTTATAAAAGTAATTTACAGTTATTCAGCTGCACTTTGAAAACTCAAAATGTGTTAAGCTGTTTCTTATTAAATTTAACACAAAGTTTTCACAGTAAAATATTACATTAACATTTCATTGTAAAACCAAGATATTAAGGATTAAGATATTTTATGTAAAACACAACAGATTACTGTCAGGTTGACATTGAGCTGTACCACACAGCATTTTGGGATATGACAGCCTGAGAGTTAAAATGAAATTTAAAAAAGGCAATTATTTTTTATTAAGAACATTTAAGTGTCTTTTTGTGACAATTCAGGTTGGGGTATTTTAGACATCTTTAAAGATTTATGCTTGATTTTTGCTTGTTTGTTTGTTTGGTCGTTTGATTGCTTAAATACTAGAACACTTAGATGTTAACAAAAAACTTATTGTTTATTGGTATTGCCATTTTAATTATGTTTGTGCAAAATTTAAATGTCTGTAAAATATGTATTTTGCATTTATAATTTTGTATTCTGGTGAACAAAGTGCAAAATATAGTGAACAACAGATTTATAGGTCTAGTAACAGTCCATTTGTAAGTTTACAGTAAATTACTGGCTACTGGGTTGTATTACAGACTGTACTACAAATGTTACGTGAAAATACAGGAGATTACCATATTTTAATTATAGCTTATTCCTGTAAGTGTGCAGCAGAATATAGAAGTCACCTGCACCACAATATTTTAGTTATTTACTGTTAATTTGGTACAACTAATAGCCATTATTATTTCACTGAAGGTTTACAGTGAAATTTATTACACTCTATTTAGCAGTAGCATTATTCCATATCATTACCATATCTTATAATGCTATAACTATTTTAATACTTGATGTCAGACTACAAGAAGATAGCATATCTCCAACTTAGACTGTGACTTTGGGTTAAAATCTGAACTCACTACTTGTGTTAAATGATATAGTACACCTTGTGCATGTTTACAGTAATGTGTTATCCTTAGCCGGACATACAGTGTTTGTTTTAAAAATAATACACTTTGTTTTGAGAAAAAATAAACACCATGTCAAACATAAGGTATGCCTTACCCTGACTCTGCAATAATCTCCGGAGCGACGTAAGTGGGGGTTCCACACACAGTGTGGAGTGGCCCCTCCACCACTGTGGCCAAACCAAAATCACCTAGCTTCAGAGATTTGGTGCCATCAGGATACTCACACACCTTTGGATCATACACAGCATACACACAAAGAAAGATTATTACTTATAAAGCAACATATTACTATGTATGTTCATAAAGGAGCAAGACTAATTTCTTCAAGCTTTTGAACCTTTAAATAACATATGTTTACATGCAGTAAAGTTAATATGACTAAAAATCCCCAATCTTTTCCTCAATTTTGTCTTATCTGATTCCACTCACCAACTAGATCTTTCCCAATCACAATACACATTTATTCTCCAAGTCATGTGAAGCCAACCACCACATCTTTTTGAACTGCCACTAAAGCAACATCAGTGAACAACTCTACACGCTTGGAGGAGAATGCTAACTGCCAGTTCTATTATGTAAACTAACAGATGCCTGCACTGGCCTAGCGTCATGCTGAGTGATGGGGGAGAGGGAGGCCCATCCACACAAAGCAAGGCCAGTTATGCCCTTTTGGACTCCCGGCGATGAATGGCAGTAGCATCAATGGGGATCAGATCAGAGAGGGCATCAGCAGTTTGATGTGCCAGTTATATGAGAATATTTCCATCTCTCTGGGTGGGAGGGACATATCCCCTCCAGTTTTTGAAATTATGCAAGATAATTTCTGAGGTCGTGGGATGGTTGTCAAAGAAAGTACATAGCTGAGCTGCAAAAGATGTCAGATGTCAAACAATACTGTTCTTTTGTTTAGTTATAGCCAATAACAACAAAGAAAAACCTGCACTGTACTATAATTGTTGACTTATACCATAACAGGTATTAATAGTCCTTAGTTTTCTTAGTAATTATCATCATATTCATAATTATTGGAGCATCTGTTTGATGTAAATGATCTAAAAATTTAAAATGAAAAAAAAGGCAAATCATTGTGCCCCTTCCCATGTCCCTGTGCGTGTGTGCATGTACCAGTAGGTTTTCAGGTTTGATGTCTCTGTGCACGATGCTCATCCTGTGCAGGTATTTGAGAGCTGCTGCCAGGTTGTACACCATGGCACTGGCGTCTCTCTCTGTGTACTTTGTAGAGGATGTGATGGCATCAAACAAGTCTCCACCCTTCAGAGAAAACATAATAATTCATAATAATTATGAGAACATCACAATTAATTGATTGAAGTGCTTGTTTAGTGAAACATTTGTTTAAGTGTTTATCTTAGTGTCACATCACAATTGTTTGTTTGTTTATTTGCATATATTCTAATATTATTTTTAAATAGATTAATACTTACTGCTCAGTTAAATAGTTTTACATACTATTTCCTCAGGTGGCTTTTCATAGTACTGTATATTTTCTTTTTTATTTATATTTTCCATATTTTAAGAACTGTTGCTAAAATTTCATTGTAAATTGTAATTTACAAGAATGTTTTACTAAATTCAAAGGACTTTGGAGCAAACATGTGTTGGGAATTTCCATGTGCGGTAGAAATGTGAGAGGGCCGGTGGTGTACCTTGACTAACTCCATGACCAGACAGAGCTCAGATGGTGTGTCCACTTCCTCGATCAGCATGATGATGTTCGGGTGCTTGACACGCCTCAGCACGGCCACCTCGTTCTCAATCAGGTGCTCCTGAGTGGGCAAAATCAAAGAAATACGTCAAACCAACTTCACGTCTTTCACCCACAGAAAAACCTGGCAAAGTGCCACAGTGTGATTGTGTGCTGAGCAGGAAATGCTCAAAGAAACAGGAAATTTATTTCCTCTGCTAAGCCTCTGGCACATGTGAATCCAAGGCCTTGACTCATATCATGAATTTCATGACTCTAAACTGAGCAGTTCTTGACATTAAATCAATACTGTATCATTAGAGAGCCTTTAATATCCAGGAATACCGCCTTGAGAATAAATAGCCATTGATTGCATTAGAATTCTCATCTGAAGGTCAGCATTTGTATTAATGTATGCAAAAGGATGATATCCGAGCAGCAGGCTGGATGGGTGGCAATGAATAAAAGAACCGCATTTTTGAGTTTATTTAGTTTGATTAAAGAGATCAAAAGCAGACAGAACAGACATATCCCACTGGGCTGTGAATAATTCACACCTCCGTAATCAGGTCTGCTCAGAACTGTGCTGATTTATTTTATACTGACCTAAGACCACTTAGCACTTCAGTTTGTACTAGTTATAATTAAAATTGGACTAAATGAAGCTGAGGTAACACTTCCTATGAACATTGTATGCAAAATGCATTATAAATGCATTTATCATGTAGTATATTACTGTAGTACATTACAAATGTATTTATATAATGTAGCATATATTTATATAGTATATATGTTCTATGCAGTAAATGCCATTGCATTGACATAAGGGCTTTAAATGAAACTGATGGTCAATTATATCATTTATAACACTGTAATAAGGCATCATCCCAAGTAAAGGCACTTTAATATCATTATAATTCCATTATTTGGTTGTATTGTGCACCAAATATCAGTGGTCTGGAAATTTTTTATGCCTTCGAACTTAGGCCTTCAAATAAAGTGCTACCTAATCCTATACCACTATAACTAAATCACTGTAAAATGGAAACATCTATCCCTCCCACCACAGATACTGAAGGAGATGACTTACTTTGCCACGACATTTGTTCTTGTCGATGATCTTTAAGGCAAACTCCTTTCCTGTTGACCTAGAGAAAGATAAGATGGAATGATATCTCCTGGAATAACTTAGAAACTCAAAATTTTCTGTTTTTTAATTAATTAATTAATTAATGAATGAATTAATTTTAATTAGAGTTCAAAAACAAATACTTCATGTTTGTCAATACATTCAAAGAGGCCAGAAAGGTAATTCTCCTTGTTTGGAGATATAAATCCCTTTTATGTTTGAAGAACAGGTTAGATTATCCCCTTTGGCTTCCAGAAGATGTGGAACTACGTTGAAAATTTTATCGTAGAACCACAAACATAAACCAGTTCTTCATCATCATGGTCCTGGGTTATTGCGTGAATCATGACTTTTAGCTTATCGACTTGTTTTGCATAAAATCAATGTTTAACTTTTAGCTTGAAAGCTTCTGGCCAAGTGAGCTTGAGTTCTCTGTGCTTCTCCATCTAAAAGTGTTAGAAATAGAATGCAGTGACATAGAGAAACAGATTGAAACGGTGTGAAGCAATGAAATAGTTGAATCAATTAAATAATTTACTGAGCATTGAATCTACTGATTCAATAGAAGAAACTACTCTAAAAGGAATGAAGTAGAGTAAAGATTTTCTAATCGTAGTGCTTTTTGTAAGAAATTATCAACTTACCGTTCTACACATTCCTTTACCACTGCAAAGTTTCCATCACCGATAACCTTTCCAACTTTGTACTTGTCCAAAACACTGGAGCCCGTCAGGTTTTTATTGCCATTAACTAGAGAAAAAAAACACATTGCACGTCGTTATATGTCAATAACTATTCTTCATTATTCATACTTTGGAAACGGCATGCCTCAAAACCAGCAAAAACTACTATGAGAACGAATGTTCTGACTATATACTCTTAAAAAAAGGTGCCACAAAGTGTTGTTTGAGTGATGCTATAAAGGAACGACTATTAAGATTTGTGAAAGTGGAGAACCTTCAATGGGATCAAAGACACTTCACATAATGTAAAGGTTCTCTATCAATTTATAGGTTCTTCCTAGAAACGTCTAGTGTTCTTTCAAACTTTAAAGATTCTTTTACAAAAATGGTTCTATAAAGAACCATCTATTGAAAGTTTTTAGGGAACCAAAAGTGGTTCTGCTTTGGAATCATATAAAAAATTCTTTTTGGAACCTATATTTTTAAGAGTGTAATTTATTACTAAATTCCTACAATAGTTAATTTTTTAATGTATTCAATTGTAATATAACTAAATCAGGGGTGCCCAAGCTTTTTGTCTTTTGGAAGGGGCCAAAGTACAATGTTTGTGGCGGGCTGAGGGCCAAAAAGACTCTAGAGTATACAAATAAAACAGATAGGTAGGTTTAAAATCAAGTTTCTTATAAATGCATTTTGTAAAACACTGTAAGAAATGACTACTTAAACAGTAACTTATTGCACAGCTTTTTTAATTTCACCCAACTACACTGTTTCAAAACATTGTAAGACACAATCTGTCTTACATTGTTCTCCAAATGTATTATCTGACGTTTAATAACTTAAGTTATCTACACTTAAGTATATAACTTATTATACACAATTATAACCCCAATTCTAAAAAAGTTGGGATGCTGTGTGTAACTGTAAATAAATGGAAATAAAATCAGATTGCAATGATTTGCAAATCTCAAAGACCTATATTTTATTCACAATAGAACATAGAACACATATCAGATGTTGAAAGTGTGACATTTTACCATTTCATGAAAAACATTAACTCATTAAAAAAGTTGGGACAGGGATCGTGTCTACCATTGTGTAGCATCCCCTTGTCTTTTAAGAACAGTCTGTAAACGTCTGGGAAGTGAGGAGACCAATTGCTGGAGTTTTGAGAGAGGAATGTTGTCCAATTCTTGTCTGATGGAAGACTCTAGCTGCTCAACAGTCCTGGGTCTTCTTTGCCGGATTTTTTGTTTCATAATGAGCCAAATGTTTTCTATTGGTGAATAGCACCCAGACTCTTCCTCTGTGAAGCCATGCTGTTGTGATGGATGCAGTATGTGGTTTAGCATGGTCTTTCTGAAATACGCAAGGCCTTCCCTGAGAGAGACGTTGTCTGGATGGGAGCGTATGTTGTTCTAAAACCTCTATATACTGTTCAGCATTGATAGTGCCTTTCCAGATGTGTAAGCTCCCCACGCCGTAGACACAAATGCAACCCCATACCATCAGAGATGCAGGCTTTTGAACTGTGAGCTGATATCAAGCTGGATGGTCCCTCTCCTCTTGAGTCCGCAGGACAAGGAATCCATGGTTTCCAAAAAGCATTTAAAATTTTGATTCATCTGACCACAGAACAGTTTTCCATTTTGACTTAGTCCATTTTAAATGAGCTTTGGCCCAGAGAAGATGGCGGCGTTTCTGGATCGTGATGACACAGTGTCATGACACAGCTTTAACTTGCATTTGTGGATTGCATGACGAATGTTCACAGACAATGATTTCTGGAAGTGTTCCTGAGCCCATGCAGTGATTTCCAGTACAGAATCATGCCTGTTTTCAATGCGTGCCACATGAGGGCCTGAAGATCACAAGCATCCAATACTGACTGTCTGCCTTGTCCCTTGCATACAGGGATTTCTCCAGTTTCTCTGAATCTTTTGATGATATTATGTACTGTAGATGGTGGGGTATCCAAAGTCTTCACAATTTTACATTGAGGAACACACACACACACACACACACACACACACACATGTTCTAAGCTGTCCTTCTCGGTCGCGGCATTGAGGAACATTTTTCTGAAATTGTTCCACATGAACCTCTGCCTATCTTTGCTTTTGTGAGACTCCGCCTCTCTAAGATGCTCTTTTTATACCCAGTTATGTGAGTTAGTTGCAAATTGCTCCTCCAGTTGTTTTTTTATTAGTACCACTTAGTTTTCCAGACTTTTGTTGCCCCGTCCCAACTTTTTTGAGATGTGTTACTGCCATCAAGTTCTAAATGAGTTAATGTTTTTCATGAAATGGTAAAATGTCACACTTTCAACATCTGATATGTGTTCTATGTTCTACTGTGTATAAAATATGGGTCTATGAGATTTGCAAATCATTGAATTCTGTTTTTATTTACATTTATTTACATTTTACACAGAGTCTCAGCTTTTTTGGAATTGGGGTTGTACATAACAACACTAGCAACTACTACCAAAGCAACTTAACTATCACTTTTGACAAAGTTTACTAATTTGTGCTGGATATTTCAGATATAATTTCAGTTTGCAGCAGTTTTAGCTTGCATGTAGCAATAGTTGTACTTCAAATAGGAGTCCAAAAGCAGGAAATGCCTCATAGCATTGTGTGATAGAAAGAGTTCCAGCTAGTGGATCAACTGTGTAGATTGTTTACTTAACCTGGTCTAAACTAACAAGTGTAAGTTGAACACTGGGTGAACTCTTTGAAGTTGAGTTAACTCAAGAAACTCTGTGTACCATTAAAGTTACCATAAAACTTTAAGTTGAGATGACTTTTTAAACATTGTTTTACAGTATATTTTGTTACTAACACACTTCAAAAAAAGTAATAAGGGAAATAAGAATGTATTTAATACAGTCTATAAAACACAATATGTTTGTTTTCTCATTGGAAGAAGGGATAGAGGTAGGCCAAATCAAACATTCTCACTGGTCACTTTTGGCCAGTCCTGGACCTGATCAGTTCTGCTTGTTATTACTGCATCTCTGTGAATTGATTGAATAAACAGGTCTGTGTGATCAGGACACTCCAGCCAAGTGGAGAGATCAACAAACCCACACACTTCACTGAGTAATGACAGTGTGCATGAGTAAGCGTGTGCAAGAGTGGTCAGTGTTCACGTAAGTGTGCAGAGTGACATGTGTCAGCACTTTCTACAGCCACAGTCTGCAGTGTTCCTGCAAATACTGTAGGGCATTTGGGGATGCGATGCGTACATAAACAGAAGGTGAGCATGATCATGGTCAGGACTGCTAGCAGACAAACAGGCACTGAAAAATCCCTGCAATTACTTGATTCATCACTTCTACATAAAAAAAAAACATATTACATCTATACAAATCTGTTATTGTTTACTTTGAGCAATAATGGTGTTAACACAATACATTCTATCCATGTGGAAATGATGCACACATTTCAATAAAGTAAATTCAACGCAACACGTTTTTTTCACTGAAGAAAGGGTGCAGAGAATAAAGGGATAAGATAAACAGAAAGGGAACGAGAATAGAACTGTGAAGTAGTGCGTCATTCTGTTGTTGGCTCTCAAGTCCACATTAGGAACTCCGGGTTTAAGCTGTTTTTCTCTATGACAGAAATGAATGGTGTTTTCTAAAATCGGCGCTGTCATGTCCTGGATCCTCTGAATTAGAAGTCATTTAACAGCCGAAATCCAAACAATGCTACATACATGCTACAATTAAACTAACAATCCTGAGCACATCAGTGACATCACATGAATGTAAGTCTATTATCAAACCTTTATTATGCTACTGCATGGCAACACCAGCTACTCAAACATTTAGTTCATATAGAGAAACCCAGCTTAGACCCAGAGTTACGAATAAGGGCATGATGCCATGTACATATGTACACTGCATCAGAGGTCTATAAGATGGGTGTGGAAAGAGAGACAGAGAGATAGAGAGAGAAAGACAGACAGACAGAGAGAGAGAGAGAGAGAGAGAGAGAGAGAGAGAGAGAGAAGAGAGTGAAAGAGTAAGAGACACACACACCGAGAGAGAGAAAGGGAGAGAGAAACAGAAGAAGAAAAAGTCAGAGAGTGAATGAGAGAAGAGAGAAAGAAAGAGTAGGTGTGAGAGAAACAGAGAAAGAAAAAGAATTAGGGAAAGAAAGAGTAAGAGCGGGAGTAAGACAGAGACAGAAAAATGAATTTGTGTGTGTGTAAGAGAGAAACAGTGTTTGAGAGAGTGAGAAAGAGAAGTAAAACAAGAAAGCAAGAGAGTGAGAGAGAGAGAGCAACAAGGAGAAAGAAAAAGAGCAAGAGAGAGAGAAAAGGCGAGAGAGAGAGAAAGAGAGAGAGAGACAGTGAGAGACAGAGAGAGAGAGAGTGAGAGAGTGAGAGAGAGAGAGAGAAGACCAAATCAAGAGAGAGAGGCTTCGTACCTTCAGGGCTGCTGTTATTCATGTGTTGCTGAGGCTGCTCTGTGGAGCCGTTCACATTAGAGGCAGAAGAGTGATGAGGAGGAATCTGTGAGAGAGACTCCATTAGAAACTGAACATCCAAAAATAAACCAGTTATTTTATCATCCATGAAAAAAAAGCAATTGAAGCAATTAGTGCTAAATGATGAGCAAAGCTGTTGTGACACCAATTTACTGTATATCTCTGAACTTTAATGCTGTAAAAGTAGTGTCATCTGCTATAGCTGATGATGAATTTCAAAAAGTGAAGCAATTTACTCTATTGCAGTGTGGATATCACCTTCACTTATATGACATTAGGGATGCACTGATATGAACACTCTGAATGATGCTGCCTTAAAATTTGATCACATTGAATATCATAAGGAAACAGAACAATAACCAGTGTATTATGTTCTTTCTTGTTAAGCAACCCAGACTTCTGTCTATTTTCAGAAAGTCCAGTACTTTTTTCTAATTTACATGGTGAAGGACTGCCTATTTTGACAAAACTTTTAAACATGTGATGCCAGGGATGCGAGAAGTGATTGTCTAACTGCATTACTGAAAATAATAATAAAAAAAAATACACTACAGACATATTTCATGTTAGTCAAATTTTTGTAAAATTAGTATTAATTAGTATTAGTATTAGTAATTAGTAAAGTATTGGTATTAGTATTTGTTAGTATTAACAGTAATTGGTAATAGTATTAGTAATTAATAAAATTACTAATTAAATGACCCATGTGTGTGGGCAGAGTGTCTGAAGCTGAGATTACATTGTCAACTTATTAACTGAATTTTAACAAAATCTAAATTTAAAGCAACGAGGTTACTTTTTGAGATAAAACCCAAGTTTTTTTCTTTAGGATGTGGTACCTTTTCTTGGCTAGTTGCAGTGCTATACAGATATCACTGTGCATCCCTAATTGTTTCTTATTTGAATAAGAATGTGAAATGTGGAAGGCCTAAAGCTAAATAAGCCAATGGGAGCAAACAGCAGCAGACAGGCTCGTCTGTGTGTACAGAGACTCACTGGGTTTAAGACTCAACATTAAGATTTTGATTTGATATTTGATTATTTATTGCAGACACACTGGTGCTTTTTCTCTGCTAAGCCAATATGCTTCAGTGTTGAGGGTATGGAAGCACTAAGTTTGGTTAGCACCCCAGTTGAGCCTGTACACACACAAATAAAACTTAATCTCCATAGTTCATAGTCACCTGCACAGAAAGATAGAAGGGGCCTCTCATCCGCTTGTTGCAACTAAACTAAAAGCAAGTGGGAAGATATTTATAGAACCAAGTCAACAGCGTGCTTGGCCTAAAATAAGCTTGAAAGTTTTAAAACAATGTGCAAAGAACCATTATGACAGGTAGCCCCCCATCTGGTTACTCATTCTACCAAATCTTCACTGTTACAAGGATGCTAATGGTAGAATATAAGGAATAATTCATTGAATTCCAGAGACTTCTAGAAATCTGAGGTGGCTTTTTATGTAACACCTTTCAGGGTTATATCATTCTCAGCATTATTAACATGGTTATGCAACCTCACTTTCAGGTTAAAATATCCTGAAACTGTAGTTTCCTCCTCTGCTTATAGCAACATGGCTTCCCCATTGTTAAAAAAAGCTTAGAAACTGCTGCTCTCCTCAAACCAAGATGGTACCCACAACAGCAACAGAAGACCTGTATTGCAGCTCTATTACAAACACATAAATCTATCTACAAACGATTCTATCTATCTAGATAGATAGAATCACTTCCTAAAGAAGTGCCCTGATTTAATGTACTAGCCAAAAGCTATGATAGCCCCTTGGGTAAGATGCCCCCCACCCACCATATTTTCTCTCCTGATCATATGATAGTGCCAAATCTGATCTTGATATGTTTACTGGATGGCTATGGTCTACTAAATTCTGAAATGCTGAAATCCGGATGACAAAATTCCTGGGATTAATTATATATTTTTTGGTCATTGAATAATAGTGATCTATGTATTTATACTGTTGTACTTGAAAAGTTATACACAGCAAAAATATATGATTATGGGTGCAGGGCTGTGGAGACAGTACTAAAATTTTGAGAGTAAAAAGGGTTAAAGGGTTAAAAGTTAAACCTTTGGGGAAAGGAGTCCCCCCAGACATGGAGCAAAAGGCCCCCTTTAGCATGCTGCCCACAAATTACTTAGTTTTCATCTTAAAAGCACAATGTTGTTCACTGTAGTTTCACCAGGTAGAATTAGCATTACATGCTAGCTATAGTTATAGCAATTGTTAGCTACATAACACCATTAAATAATTAAGCAATTTACAATAGCTACTTAATTAATAGACAAAATGGATATATAGAGTGTTTCTATTCTGCTGTAATTTGTCCTTTTCAAAGCATTTTAAAATGTGACATCAATGAAGACATAAACTGAAAGAGGTCTCAATTACATATTATTTTTAGTGCTGTATATTGATTAATTATATATTATATATTATATTATATATTTTTTTTTAAGTTCAAAAACCAGAAATTATTTGACATATAAATGACATTCTGTCAATGTTTTTTTTTACATTCTGTAAAACAATTTGTCTGGATGACAATGATGCTAGGGGGGCATCTTATCCCACACTGTCAGAAAAAAATAGTACTGTTGAGGTTCATTTTAATCCCCCTGAGGAACAAACAATGTTAAACACTGTTAAAAGGCACAACATGGTCCTTAAGGTTCAGTTGTGTACCTTAAAAGATGTAAACTACATTTACTTCTACAGAATAAAGGTACATGTTTGTGCTTTGTTCATAACTTAACTACACAATATAGACAAAAGTATTGGAACACCCCTCCTAATTATTGAGTTCAGGTGTTTCAGCCATACCCACTGCTAAAAGGTGTTTCAGCCATACCCACTGCTAATTAAGCACACAGCCATGCAGTTTCGATAGACAAACACTGGCAGTAGAATGAGTCTGACTGATGAGCTCAGCGACTTTAAACATGACACTGTCAAAGGATGCCACGTCTGCCGTAAGTCAGTTTATGAAATGTCTGTCCTGCTAGATCTGCCTCTGTGAACTGTAAGAGCTATTATTGTGAAATGGAATGCTCGAGGAGCAACAACAGCTTAGCCACAAAGCGGTAGACCATGCAAACTCACAGAGTGGGGCCACTGAGTGCTGACTCTGTCTGGCAGTCTGATGGACGAATCTGGGTTTGGCAAATGCCAGGAGAACATTACCTGCCTGACCATTGAGCCAACTGTAAAGTTTGGTGGAGGAGGGATAATGATGTGGGTTTGTTTTTCGGCCTAGACCCTTTAGTTCGAGTGAAGGGAAATCTTAATGCTTCAGCATACCAAGACATTTTGGACAGTTGTATTTTTCCAACTTTGTGGGAACAGTTTGGGGAAGTCCCTTTTCTGTTCCAGCACGACTGAGCCCAAAGCAAGGTTCATAAAGACATGGTTGAGTGAGTTTGGTGTGGAAGAACTTGACTGGCCCACACAGAGCCCTGACCTCAACCCTATCGAACACCTTTGGGATGACCTGGGACAGAGATTGCGAGCCAATAACCAACACCATATTATTGCCTGTGGATTTAGAATGGGATGTCATAAAATCTCCTATGGGTGTAACGTGTAGGTGTCCCAATACTTTTGTCCATATAGTGTATATTAAATAGAAAAATTCAAGACTGAGTGTATGGAGTGAATACAACTTAAAAAATATTACTGCAACCGAATATGATAGAATTATGTTCCACAACACAAGGCACTGAAGACATACCCTTGAAGGACCACTCGAGTGATATGAGGGGTACCACCCCACTGATATAAGGGGGCAGGTGACAATGATGTTGGCTGATAATGTTTTAATAATTGAGTTTTAACAATATTATACTGTCCTGGAAAATCCCATTTCTCCTCATGGCGAGAGTGATTAGTAGTTTTAGGCTACACATGCCTTCTGTCTGCCTCTTCGTGCTTTGTATGCATCTTTTGTTTTTCTGAAATAGTCAACCTAATTCTGTAGCAAGAGTCTCGACACACTGCCCAAAAACTGCAGGCACCACAGGCAGGCCTGTTGCCATGCCAACGGGCTCCTACCTTGAAGTTGCGCATGCTGTGGGGGCTGGTGGGGGAGGAGCTGGAGGACTTGGCGGATTTGGGGGTGGAGATTGAACCGGTGCTGGGAATTCCATTTACTATGAAGAGAAAGCAAGAGAGAGCGATAGAGAGAGAGAGAGACAGAGAGAGAGAGAGAGAGAGAGAGAGAGATATTACCTGGAGTATTAACACTTCATGAACAAGGAGGGAGGAAAGAAGCCAAATCTGAGTTGCATCTATATAAAAATGTTTACAAGGGCACTCCAGCTTAAAACTACCATTTAATATGCTGTTTATTGTGTTATGCAGTATTCTATAGTGCAGCATTACCACCTTCAGCCTCACTGGTTAGACAGAATTCACAATTTTATATCATTTTCATTCTTTTGAATGTCTTCATGAATGTTCTCTCACTACCCAGCATGCATTACGCAAGTACATCATACAACCATTGGGAATCCTTGCGGTGTTAACCAATCTTGACTGATAGCTTAACCACAGATTTACAAGATAATAAATATGACCAACCTAGCGTTAGAGTGACATGTTGTAATGTCAACTGCGCTTTGGACTCCTTCAATGAGCGGTTGAATCTGATGATTGAATCTGAGTCAAAACTTTGTGAAGGGCATGTCTTTCAAGAAGGTAAGTAAATTATATACTATTGTCCTCATGTCTTCATCAGTGTAATGTTGATTATGCATTTAAGAACTAAACATTAAGCTGGACCTTCTTTTTGAGTCTGTGTATGCAACCATATGTAAAAGTGTATAACATAGTCAGAAAACTCCCATGTAATCCAACCAGACACGTCTAGTTTGTAATTTCACGCCTTACAGGGCGGCTTGCAGCTACGCGTCAACTCTATTTTTAGTGTGTTTCTTCCTTTTGACTTCCTTTTTGTTTCTTCCTTTTCATACTGCTTCTATCAGTTCAAACAATTATCTTACATAATGCAACATAGCACTAAGGTGCTTTTGGGAAACTGGAAACTGGACTTTGACAAGTCATTTCTGTCATTCAAGTAATCCATTCTCTCATTATAGTGATCATTTGAGGACAGTTACGACAGCTGTATGGCTGCTATAAAATACTTGGCTTCCTACACTCTTAAAAATGTGAGATTATGTGAGAGTACATTTTTAAAACTGCTCTCAGACAACATTAAGAGCAAATGCACAGCAGTGTATTTCACAGAATTAGAGTTTTAGAGTTGCAGATAATTAGAGTGTGTTTCTTTAAAGAAACAAATTGAAATAAATGGGTTAATATTGTAAATAATGTTGATAAGCTGTGCAACATATTATGACAGAACAGTTTAAGAAAGAAGAACAGTTTAAGCAGACAAATAGTTCTTTGTGTGTTCATGGTTCTGTATTTGTTTTTTTCGTGTGTGTGTGTGTGTGTGTGTGTGTGTGTGTGTGTGTGTGTGTATGTGTCTGCGTCTGTGTGTGAGTGTGTGTTTGCATGTGTGTCATGGATTGCTGCAAGGTCAGACAATTCCTGCTGCCAGAGTAAGTTTCCATCCTAATCTGCATGCTCTTAACTAGACAAGGAGAGACAGGAGCAGTTCAGATTGCTCATCGTGAGGCATCGTCACACACACAAAGCAACAGCAACCTTCAGTTCATTGAAGGCAAACTGGAACCAATTACAAAGTTTCCTCTATAATGACCCAGATTAGGATGTAATAGTAATCAGCCACTCAATGCTGCACATTACAGTGATTTTACGATGGTTGAATGGTGTGGTTAGGTATGACACAAAGCTTTTATAAAGCAGCAACAGAACATAAACATGTTCAACGAATAGTTTCATCAAGAACCTGCAGTTTTAGCTGAGAAAGTGTCAATAATTAGCATCCTCTTTCAGTTCTTTCCATTTTTGCTAATGTGGCTTTTTCTATGATGAGAACTTAAAAAAAACAGGTAATTTAACAGAAACCAACACTGTAAAGAATTTTGGGTAGCCCCATTTCCAGTGCTAAAATATTTTCTGTCTTTCTGACAAACAAAATATTCTAAATGTAGGAACACTGCAGCATAAAGGTTGTGTAATGTTTATACATGTATTATGGATATAAACTAATAGTATAGCTGCTTGGCTAAGCAATGGTGCACACTGCAGTCTCTCACGCTAGTTAGAGACTTTCTTTGGAATGTGATTTCATTGACCTAGAATGCAATTTAACTGGCCTGGAATGTGGTTTCACCCGCATGAAATACAATTTCACTTACCTGGAATGTGATCCCACTTCCAGGGCTAAAATATTCAGTTTTGTTTTTGTTTTATATTTATCTATCAGCCAATATTATAGGTTATCAGTATTGACCATATCAGTATATGTGTATATCAAGCATTTAACAATGGCTTCCAATGCGGGTCAGCCAAACAGATTTATAAACTGTATTTGTGAAATCTGAATCTCAGACACTGTGCTTAATATGCTTCAGTCAATCTTCAATAAACATATACCTGCACAATGCAAGCTAGAACAGCAAGCCAAAGCAGAGAAACTGTCTTCACAAAACTTTCCTTCACACAGGTTAAGTGGTCAGCTGCCATTCAAACAGAAAGATGTCTCAGACTCTTGCTAACATCTCTCTACAGGTAATCTGCGTCAGACTCAGCAGGAGTTTAACTCTGAGAAAAGCAGCTCTGGCTTTTCCACGCTGGTTGTTTTGACTGCAGTGACTAAATCACTTTTCCTCTTCAGGCACATGCTTCAAGCTGCCTAGCCATGCCCTCCAGGTCGACTGGGCCATGAAGACTGATCGTTAATGCTGCATTAGCCAGCCTAAGCAGAAGGCTGATGAAGATGCCTGTATATAGCGTATTCATCCAATTGGAGTGCCTCAGATTAGAAGGCATGTGTGCTGCAGTTTGGGCAGGTGCCAGAGAGCTGGTTTTAAATAGCTCTGTTCTCGCTGGCTCTTAGCTTGATTGAATGCCATGATTTGAGGTCAGAGGTCACTTACAGCTCACTTCAAAACTGGCAGCACACTTGCCGCAAGGTCACATCGTGAGAGTGAACAGAGAACTTTTTTTTGCAACATTCTTGTGGAACTCTCACTGTCTTTAAATGTCAGTTTGCTCATTTAGAGGCCTGAAAAATCAAATACGTTCCCCTTACCCAAAATATAGCTGATCAGCCAAGACATGTTTGGTGTCCAAATTTGGTTCAGTTTTGCACTGGAGGTACAAGTTTAATGTAGCTAACAAACAGTGGAAGCTTATAGCCACTAATTTAGCAACAATGGTCTAAAATTTGACTCTTTAAAATTCAAAGAATTCAAAAAGTCCATTCAAATGTTTAGAGCTACCTCCACAACGGCTCCTAGCATATTTTAGGCCAGCAACGGCTGCCAAATGCATGGAAGAACATGACATTGCTAACCATAAATAAAAGACAACAACCTATTTTGGCAACAACCTATTTATTAACAACCTATTTATTCTGTATTTAAATGTAAAGGAATATTTCCAAGCATCCAGCAGCTCTACAGAAACTGTGCCACTCTAAATGAAGCAATATATCGACTTTCAATGGTAACAGACAGAAATAAATTGTCTGATTCTCTCTGTGGTCTACTTCAGATGCCAGGCTTTCACAAAAACAAAACAAATGAGGGAGCTCTCCAGGATAAAGATTGTGTAATGTTTATGCATGTATTACTAATATAAACTGCTAGTTTAGCTGCTTGGCTAAGCAAAGGTGCACACTGCAGTCTCTTGTGCTAGTTAGAAACTTTCTTTGCCTCAACCCTGTGCACACACACTTTCATTTATGCAGCCACTCCCCATTTTGCTGGCCTGCTATGCATTTTCACGTGACATTTCACTGGCCTGGGATGTGAAGTCAAAGGCCTGGAATGCCATTTCACTGGCCTGGAATGTGATTTCACTGGCCTAGAATGTGATTTCACTGGCCTGGGATGTGATTTCAATGGCAAGAAATGCAATTTCACTGACCTGGAATGTGATTTTAGTGGCCTGGATTGTGAATTCACTGGCCTGGAATTAGATTTCACTGGCATGGAATGTCATTCACTGGCCTGCAATGTGATTCACTGGCCTTGAATGCAATTACACTGGCCAGGAATATGATTTCACTGACCTGGGGGATTTTATAGAAAAGTCATTCAAAAAAATATGTAAATATAAGCCTATGTGACTTTTTGGGCAAAAATCTTGTATATCAAGGCTGAGAAGCACTGTTTTATAACACCATACATTTTTGGAGACGCTTGATATTTACAGTCATGTGCAAACATTTTGGCACCCCTGGACAAATTGCATGATTTGAAAACAAATACAGGAAACTAAACATGTTTTGTCTGATCTACTATACTTGGTAAGGGGGAAATAAGTAGTTTTACATTTATATATGTACATTTATATGTACATCTCCAAACTATCACTTCAATAGTTCACATTTGTATAGAATTGGCCTATGAATTAAAAATGGCATGGTGACAATGTAATTACAAACCTACCTGGAGATTTGACTGGAGACTGACTGCTAGTGGAAAAGTGTCCAGCAGTTCTCCTGACTGACAGGGTGAGGCCAGGGAAGAGAGATAGGGGGAGATATAGATAGAGAGAGACAAACAGAGAAAGATACAGCGAGTGAGAAAAAGGCTGGGAGAAAGAAAGGAAAACATTTCAAAATACATCTTGCTAAACCCAGGACTGGGTATTTATTCAGGAAACCAGCATGCAATTGACTGCCAAAATCCCGAAGCCCCACTGACATAAACACTTTGTGAAACACAATTTGTGTCACATTATTTCAAAGGAACACATTTTATGCAAACGCCACATCATTTGAGCTTACAAATTATTGGAATGTCACACAAGAGGCCTGGAAAGAGTTATTGGACTTGTGAAAATTCATCTCCTTAATGTGCACAGGGGGTGGTCACCCAAAGATTTTAACAGTGTATAATTCACAGCTTGACAGTGTTTGGCAGCAGAGCACGGAAACACAATTGTATGCACCCTGACTGTTGCTTTGTTAATATATTTCATTTTGTGACATTTAATTTAAAACACAATACAGTGGCTTCCACACAATCACGCTGATCTCCACAACTGTAGCTTTTTTGCTGTATTCTTTTGGCTTTTTGGCCTGAAGTTATGGTAAATGATTTTATGGAACCCAATATGAAACAGAAATGTCATATCTTCATTAATTAATGGTGAATCACATGTCATGTCTAGACAAAGAGGCAGATCAGAGCCCATATAGCTCAAAATTCACAAAAATATAGAGTGCTGATCTAGGATCTTGTTTTGTTTTTTGCATTCTAATAATCAGCAATGTATGGATAAAGACAAGTTGACCCCAGATCGATATCCCTGCCACAGTATCAAATAAACACAGTATATCTGAGCTAGACACCTACTGGCCAGCGTAAGCATAAGATATTCAATAAAAAGAGCCAATCGGCTTGCTGGTAAAGCTGTAGGGTGGAAAACCCTTTGTCATTGTGGAGGTGTGTGCATGTGCAATAGTCAAAATAAGAAAAAAACTCATTTTTGTGCATTAATCGAAACAAATGCTTAAAAATATTTAAATATTTTTTATATATGAGATGTGTGTCAGATTTTACCAGTGATTTCAAACATGTTTTTTAAACATTAACGTGGCTTTCGGTTTCAAGGTTACAGGTCCCTAGAAAGGATCCTGGTCATGTGTAACTGGAAATAACTGCCTGGGCACATTGCCAAGATGACCAGTGAGTGGTTGGAATTTCCTATTAGAACTCCAAATTCTCTGTTGAAGTATCTGATCACACTAATATAAAACTGTTGGGTAAAGATCCCAGGGCTGAAGAAACAAGAAGCCCCCAGCCTCACCTAGAGAGGCCCGACTCAATTTTCATTCAGAATACAAAATATTTAAAGTATTTAATATGGAGGTTTGGATCATTTCTAGTGGCTACAGTTTTGAAGTTTTTAAACAGTATTAGTCAGTGCCAGAGCAGACATTTGGGGGAGTCAGGAGGATTTCCAGTGGGTCGGAAGTGTTTTGGGCCAGTTATTGTGAACTAATGTATAAAATCAAGCACAAGAACACTCAGACAAACTATAAATGTTACATCCAAGTGCATATGTGTAGTAATTTAGGGGTTAAATTAACAGCCCGCACTTAGCATATTGACTGTCATGATTATGTCACATTTAAGGTAAAAAGCTCTCATCAGTTTTCATTGTATGATTTGCTATAGCCACCTATATATATATATATATATATATATATATATATATATATATATATATATACACACACACATATATGTACCATATGTATATATGTATACATTAAATATATATTAGACAGTAAGCAAACAGTCAGTTCTTATACTCAGTGTATTGGATGTGGGTGAAATGGGCAGGCTTGAAGACCTGAGCGACTTTAACAAGGGCCAAATTGTTATTGCCAGATGACAGGGTAAGAGCATCTCTGAAAAAACAAGGCTTGTGAGGTGCTCCCGCTCAGTAGTCATGATTACCTACCCCTTACACTTACCACTGACTTACAGTACTTAAAGATCTAACATCTTGGTGCAAGATACCACAGGGCACCTTCATATGTCTTGTAGAGTCCATGCCTCAGTGAGTCTAAGCCTTTTTGACTGCATTCAGAGAACCAAAAGCATATCGAGCATAATGTTGTGGCTCATCTGTGTATTTGGGGTATATTATAATAATAAAGCACTTACCTGTCCCGGGTGATTTGTTGCGACGTGTTGTTCCTGGACTCTTACTGCCACTGGATCTCACTGGAGTAGTGGAACGAGAAGCATAGGAGGACTTCAGCACATGGCATTCTGTAACACACACATAAAATCACTCAGTGGAGAAGAACGTGTGAAGTACATTATGCTGGACGGTAATCCTAATTTCAGTTTCAGTTAGTGGCTTCATAGCAGATAATTAGAAGCTGGTGACACAAGCAATGGATGTGGTTTCAAAACACTGAAACACAAATCCAAACTGCATTCAGAGATAAAATGTAGCAATAAATCAAGCATGTGAACAGACTGAAAATACAGTCAAGTCCATAAGTATTTGGACAGTGACACTATTTTTGTAATTTTGCCTCTGTACACCACCACAGCGGACTTGAAATGAAGAAATCAAGATGTGATTGAAGCGTAGACTTTCAACTTTAATTCAAGGTGTTTAACAAAAATATTACGTTAACTCGTTTAGGAATTACAGACATTTTTATATAACACTTATTTTCACAGGTTCAAACATAATGGGACAGTTGACTGTTTCATGGCCACATGTGACCTGTTCCCTCATTGTTTCATGACAAATTAAGGAGATAAAAGGTCTGAAATTGATTCCAAGTGAAGGACATTTTAGAGAAGGTTGGTGTATCATTGTCAAACACTATAAACAAGAGAAGCCTTCATTAACATAAAGACCTCAAGATGCAAACCACTGGTAACACTCAAAAACAAAAAGACCAGATTAGACTTTGTTAGAAAACGTATAAAAAGCATGCCCAGTTTTGGAACAAGATTCTTTGGACCGATGAAACCAAGAATAATTTGTACCAGAATCAAGGGAAAAGAAGAATATGGAGAAGAAAAGGAATGGCTCATGATCTGAAGTATTCCACATCATCTGCCAAACACTGTGGAGGCAGTTTTATGGCATGGGCATGCATGACTGCCAATGGAACACAATCACCAGTCACTGGTGTTTGTTGATGATGTAAATGCTGATAGAAGTAGCAGGGTGAATTAGGAATTGTATACAGCTATACATTCTGCTCAGATTCGGTTAAATGCAGCAAAACTGATAGGACGTTGCTTCACAGTACACATTAATAATGATCAAAAAAATACTGCGAAAGCAACCAATTAGCTTCTTAAGGCAAAGAAATGTAATGTTCTTAAATGACCAAGTCAGTCAGCTGACCTCAGTCCATTTGGGCACTGCTTTTTACTTACTGAGGACAAAACTGAAGGCAGAATGACCCATAGGCAAGAGGTAAAGGCCAGGCAAAGCACCATAAGGGAGGAAACTTTAGTGATGCTCATGGGTTCTGCACTTCCACACAGTCACTGACTGCAAAGGATTTGCATCTACGTATAAAAATAATCATTGTATTATCTTAGTTTGTCCACTCACCTTTAACCCTGTGAAAATGGAGTGAGTATGTAAAAATGGCTGTAATTCCTAAACAGTTAATGCAAAATCTTTGTTAAACCCCTTGAATTAAAGCTGAAATTCTATGCTTTAGCCACATCTTGAATGCCTCATTTCAAATTCATTGTGATGATATACAGAGGCAAATTTACAAAAATGTTGTCACTGTTTAAATACTTATAGATCTCACTGTATATACAAAACCTTAACCCCTTAAATGGCCAGACCTCACTGGCAGGCCCAAAGTTTTATTACACACTTCTATAACCTAGGAATAGCTCAACCAGTTTGTATTAAAATCCCTGTATATACTGAATAATAAGCCTTAGTATGTAATAAGACTGGGATTTTAAGGGTTTAAGGGTTCATATTCTAGCATATCATCACTGTAACAAAACATCTTTTCTCTGCAATGATGACTTTATAGGAGAAAGATAATAACATTTTCAAATATTATGTGTATTAATGTAACAGTATTTTATTTCCGGTCATGTTTGGACCATTTCCATTAGTCCTTTCACCATGAAATGGTCACACAATGTAAAGGGTAGCCCAATATTTTTAAATAGTGCAAAAAATAAAAGCCAAAAAAGGTTCTGAAATGACAGTGATGATATGCACTTTTATTCAAAACAGTGTCTTTAGTATCTAGGCATGTGCCACTATAAAAATTTAATATCATGATAGTTATATAATTTTTTACCACAGTTTACAATACCACAATACTTTATTAAAAACCCAACATGTATAAGATCACACATGTACATACATATTGTGTTCTGAACGTCATATTTTAATAGCGATAACGCGTTGGTGATTACACATTTTGGGGATTTCCGTCTTTTAAAAACTTCCCTGATAGCTCTTTATGTAATGGCACAGCAGTCTATGTTTTGGAATTCTTTTTTCAACAATCTCAATAGGCATCATGTCTTTGGATTCCCCTATGTTTTAAGGTGGTAGACACATGATCTACCTAAACAGCATAGAGTATAAGTGCTATAAGGATAGCACTTCAACCTTTACTATGAGCTTTTATGGTGTTAAGATCAATAACAAACTAAATCAGCTGTACAAACATCAAATGATGCTTGGACCACGAAGTGACAGCACAGTGGGATCCTGTGAAACCAGAGCTACTCTACACGGCCAAAAAAAAATAATCTCTGCGAGTTGCGGAATAATGTGTTGAATATCATCATATATCTTATTATCGGATATTGGCACATGTCTAGATCTCAAATTCCTTTTTGTAGTCTCACATGAACACACACAGGTACACACAAACATATAAACAATCTGGGTCTGGATTCTATAAACATTAGAACTAATGTCATGATAACTGGAAACCAGATGGCTCCACACACAGTAATAAGGGAAACAGTAATGTTTATGTGTGTGTGTGTGTGTGTGTAGACATTGTGCAGGAGTCCTGGGTCCTGCAGAGGCATCATTAACCTGCCTGTCCAGAGCCAGCGGGATCTTTATAGCATCAGTGGCCCCACAGGCTCATACAGTGCAGCTAAAGTAACTTCAGACGCAAATTAGATTCAGTTTATCACTGTAGGAGTTCAGTCGACCCCTGATAGTCTCACTATGCATGAAAACCCTTCATACAGGCTCTATTAGCCCCACTGTTTAAACGCACTGCAGCTGGGAAGGTGGAAGAGAGATGAGGGAAGCTCACTGATTTAGATCAAGTCAAGTGAACTACATAGGCTATTGCAGTAACAATAAGAACACAACTCTGCTAGAAGTAGGTCAGAGGCAGCAATACGACGACAGAACAGTAATTTGTGAGCACTGTCTTTCTTGCCTTTTTGAATACAGATGGAGTAGAGGAGAGTATTTTTCAGTTTCAGTCATGTACATTGTACCTGCGTCACAGTCTTTGTTGGACATAGTTGTACACACTGAATTCATGCTCTAACACATAACATGGACTTAAAGGGACTGGCAAGTCAATTGTAAATCATAAATCTCAATGATCTTAAAGATGTTTGCATGCAAAGCTAAAAAAACTCAACTTTTCTGCCTGATCAGGACTGTGTGGGTGGTACATACTGCATGGGGATTGACAGTGGTGTAGCCACAGCAGTGTGAACAATTCCATGGCTGTGGGCTTTTTTTCATTTGTTTAAGCTTTTATTTTCTGGCAGAAGTCAGACTTTGAAACTCTGTGGTGTATGAGATTATGGACATAAAATTATGTTCAAACGGGAGTAACAATAGCCACAGTAATGGGTTTTAGAGGCCAATGCAGGTAGGAAGTGGCTAATCATCCAAACACTGTTAGCATTTGCTAAAGTATTGTACTGTGTCTATGACAAGCAACAAATCATATGGTCAACAAACTAAGCAGAAAGAACTTAATTTACTTGCACACTCTGCCAACTCAGACACCAGTGGCAGAGAGAAAGGAGAGAGAGAGAGCAAGTGCAGGAACAGCTCTGTCAACAAACTGATGTCCAAAGCCCTGTTTCATTTGTGTGAAATCATGAAAATGATCTTTTGGAAAGTAAACACTGCAGACACATGTTTTATTAAAGGCACGCATTACAGACATTTTACCACAGTTAACAGGTGTTTATTAAAATGCCAGCTAGCTCGCTCACTGTTGGCCAAGCATAAAAGAAACTTTGATTTTTCTCAATCAATGACCAACATTATTCTTTACAGAAGCAAGACCCTATAAACGCAAAAAAAGATTAACAAAATATGTCAACAGCCTCTTTAAAGCAAACATTTAAATTTTTCCCTAACCTCAATTGTGGTCGATCAGCCAAGACATGTTTTGTGTTCAAAGTTTTGCTTCTTCTCTATGAGGCTAATGTAGCTAACAAGTAAAGGAAACTTGCTCTTCATCAATTAGAATTGTGCAAACTGCATGCCTGAATCAATGCATGTAAGTTAAGTAATCTCAAACAGTTTAAACCTGTTTATATCCCTTGTGACAAAGTACACAGTTTTTACTACTGTTTTTAGCTATGCAATGCATTTTTAATAGAAAACAGTATGCAAAACAGTGTTAGAAACCACATAAGCAAGTCTATTTGAAATCATTCAACAACTTTGCACGGTTTCAGACAAGCATGTAATGATTTAGATATGCAGCTTGCAAGATGCTAATTGTTGGGGTATAAGCTTCTATTACTTGGTGGCTATGTTAGCCTTGTAGCTCCAGTGCAAAACCAACGAAAGAAAACATCCGACACCAAACGTCTTGGCTGATCAACTACATTTCAGTTCAGGAGAAGCTCTGTAAATTTGATTTCCACTGAAGCACTTTTTTCCGCTAAAGTAGCTTTAATCGCTCACACTAATTCAATACCTTTCTGTGACTGAGACAAGGAAGTGAGTTGATAGCTACCGTCAAGAGGAAGCACACCGTTTCCTTATATTTTTGGAAAAGTCCTACTTTATCTAAGTGGAGCGGGAGAGGAGAAGTAGGACGAAGACGCCAAACAGATGAACTATATTCTCTGCAGAGTGAATTGAGTTAGTGCAGAGTGTGTGTTTAATGCTAGAAGGGCTGAGACCATCTTATCAAAACAGGATGTATTCTGAAATCTATATTTAGAGCTTTGGGACTCCAGGGGGGTAAAAGATCCCTCATCAGATCTGACTGTCCTCCCTGTGGTAGACCAGGGAACATGCAGTTATGAAGAACAATAGATAATGCATTTTCACCAAGGCGGTCACTTCCTGTGAGAAGTCACCACCGCACACAACTGAAGAGGGCTCACTTAGGTGGGAGTGACCTCTGAGTGGCAGTGAATGAACCGGCCTACAGGAATGGAATGTGCTGTAATGTGAGTAGAATGAAAGTACTTTCCCCTGCAGAAGACTTGAGTCACTGTGTGGTGCACAGAGTTCAGTGATGATTAAGTCCATCTGGACTTAAAATACGGTGCAAAAGTCTTAGCCCAGCCAAGAAAACTGTTTAAGAGCTCTTGAAATCAAAGGACCCATCATTCCTCACTCTTGTAACTAAAAACCTTACATAATAGTTTTATAGTTTACAGTAGTATTAGGTTTAAGATTATTAACTGAATGATAAGACTAGAGTTGATAAGATGTTTTAACGTTCTTGGATCTGCCTTAATTTCATTGCTCAATACAATTGATATAATTTAATAAGTAACTATAATTATTAACAATAATGAGAACAAGATGAAGACAAAGATGAAACAGAATTTAAGAACGAACTGTATAATTACTTTCCTTTGTTTAAGAATTTATTGTCTTTAAAGTAGAAATCCAACAGATTTAACAAAAATTCTGCAGAATTCAGATGTTATGACATAAATAAAGCCAGTCCGAGTGGTTTGACATGAGATGTCTGGTTCTAGAGAAACTTACAGAGTCAGAATTGTTCATAGTGGTGGTGAGAGGAGCCAGACGTCTGAAGATTTTAATGCCCCAAAACCTACATCACATAAAATATTACATAATATTACATTATATAAAAAAAAGTTATGAATACACCTCCTGATGCCTGAGACACTGTGGTTGTTGAGGTGCATGCAGGGTGTTGTAAGACAATATACACAAAAGAAACCTTTTTTTTTATTTACCTTTATTTTACCTTCATCAATATTCCACATACAAACTCAGAAGGCACATGTAAATTGTTTTGGATTGTAAATAAAATGGCTACATTTGCATTGTGGACAACAACACCTTTGGCTCCTATCACCACCACTGTTAAGAAATCCAAGCCAAAGTTAGCAAAGCTTTCACCACAAATCACTGTGCATGACTTTGTTTATATCTCATCCATTGAATTATGCAGAAATTTTGAGGGTGGAATTCTCCTATAAAAAGTTGTTGTGAACTAGTTAAGAGAACACAGGTTTGGTTCTTCTTCTCCTTGATGCAGCTCCAGCCATTGCATGGGCAGGTTTATTTCCAATAAAATCATATGTTATTATAAATATTCATATAAGTTTATTCAGTTTATTCACATGTTTGTGTCTTTGGAAGACAATAACTGATTACTGTCTAAATACTTTAAATATAATTTTCTCAGCTGTTCTAAGACCTTTGCACTTTACAGACACTTTCTACAAATGGTATAATGGCCATATTAACCTTTAAGGGACACACATTCTAGAAGAATTTGTGCTGTTGGTAATGTGATAATTTGACTGTAGTGCTAAAGTAAGAACTCTTTGCATGACCACAGTAGCTTGCCTTCTATGACAAGTGAGTGTGGGGGAAGAGCATGGGGAAAGGTGCTACAGAGACACTAGGTTCAATGAAGTTAGTGTTTAGCCAGGCCTACCAGTCAGAAAGGCTTCTGAAGCCTTACCGCTGTGATCCAACACAAAATCATCCTGTGCATAGCGGTACTTCTCCGGTCCGCATGCGATGAACACATCGTCCTCACCGAAGAAATCCTGCAGACATGTGATCTAGAGAAAGAAAGAATGGAAAAAAGTTGAAAAAATGTGCGCTACTGTATATATTATAAGAGTGGTAATGATGTAATTATATCAACCGATCAAATTTCCTACAGTTCACTTACAACATTGTGAGAGTTTGTGCACTAAAAAGTCATAATTCATTTTGCCTCTAAAACTAATATATTTAAGGAGCTCTGTTCTGATTGGCTGCTCTGTATTGTCCCTCAATCAAAAAGCAGTCCGGGCTAAAACACTCCTTATAACTTCAGCATAAATGGGCAGGGCTAAACTTCTGTAACTACTGTCTCTACTTTTACTCATATGGCGATGTTTAAGACTGCAGGAACAGCACTCCACATAACTTCAAGAAAAATGGGTGGAGCTAAAGTGCTGTAGGATGAATGGTAAGATGGCATGATACCGATATCGGCCAATGTCGATACTGCAGTGAAACTCTGCTGCAGCAGAAAGAGTAGGTCATGGAGAATAAAACACTGAGATATGATGTCAGGATAAGGAGAAAATGTTGGGTCTTTTTCCAAATCAGATTATTCAAGCACTGATGTTGGATGAGAAGCCCTGGGTCACAATCGACGTTTCAAAGGTCTTCAGTGTTCAGTGGGGTTGAAGTCAGGACTCAGTGCAGGCCACTACAGTTCCTAAACACCAAACCCGCCAAACCATATTATGGGTCTTGCTTCGCATACAAGGCAAAGTCATGCTTAAACAGGAAAGGGCCTTCCCCAAGCTGCTGCCACAAAGTAGAAAGCATATAATTGTCTAAGCTGTTTTTGTATGCTGTAGCTTTAACATTATTTTTCATTGGAACTAAGGGGCCGAGCCCAAACCCTGAAAAAACAGGCCCAGACTATTATCACTCCTCCCCCAAACTTTTCTGTTAGCACTACAGCCAATGCTTGGCATCTTAAGCTTGTGTCTGGCCATGGAAAGATGTTTCATGTAGCTCTAGATGCACAGCTCTTGTTCTGATGTTGCTTCCAGAGGCAATTTTAGAACTCTGTAGTGAGTGATTTCACAGAAGATAAACAATTTTTATGCTGTGTGTGCCTTAGCACTCAGTGGCCTTGCTCTGTAAGCCCGCATGGTCTACTGCTGGCTGAGTTGCTGTTGCTCCTAGATGCTTCCATTTCACAACAATAGCACTTGCAGTTGACAAGGGCAGATCTAGCAAGCAGAAATTACACAAACTGACTTGTGGTTCACTGTACTGTTCAGTGCCCATTCTACTGTTAACGTTTTGTTGCATGGCTATGTGCTTGATTTTATACACATGTTAGCAATGGGTGTGGCTGAATAATTAGGAAGGGTGTCCACATTCTTTTGGCCATGTAGTTTATGTGTATGTAACAATATGTTGTGAAACTTTAACAAACTCTTCAAAAAAGCAATGGAAAATTGGTTGTCCATTATATGGGTCCTTTCAAAAGCTTTCGGATGCTGGAAGCTGAATGCAGCTCAGTGGGAATGCAGGAAGCTGTGCCTCTGATCCACCCCTGCTGTTGCCAGGCAATGTGTGCCTCAGGTTTTTTTTTTTTAATTTTACTTTACTGGAGGAGGGAATCCCACAGAGAGGAGAGCTGCCCAGTGTGGCAGTGATGGACGGCCCAGTAAGATTAGCGTGCTCCATTTTAGTCTCACCTACATGGGTGATACAGGACATCAGAGAAAAGGCAAAAAAACAGAGCGGTGGTGAAGAAGCACTGTGAAATGTACATATATATATATATATATATATATATATACACACACATATATACTCGTCAGCGGTAGTGGGCGAATGATATCAGGAGTTCAACCCACTCCTCCACTCTCAGAGTTGGGCAGCACAAGAGGCAGATGGTCCTCACGTGGAGCTCAATCAAACAAACACACACACACACACACATACACACACACACACACACACATACACACACACTGCACTGGGAGAGGGATCACAAACAGATGGAGACCAGAGCTAAAGAGCCCCTTCACTGCCCTCAGAGAGAGAGAGAGAGGAGAGAGAGACAGAGAGAAGAAAAAAAGAGAAGAAAGAAAAGAGGGAGAGAGAGTTTGAGTTATATACAGCATCAGCATGAGTGTGTTGTTTAAAGTGTTAAGTATGAATCAGATACAGAGAGAGAAAGGGAGAGAGAGAGAGAGAGAGAGAGAAAGCAAGAGAGAGTGCAGTCTCATAGGACAGTGATGGAGGTGTTTAATGATTACACAACACGAACACACAGAAGAAGACATTACCACCGTCAAAAAATCAACAAAGCAGTTGATTTCAACAGGGACTCCACAGGATGCCTCGCATTTGCCTGTCTGTACGTTTATACAGAAAAATAACCGTGCTCACTGTTAGAGATCTAAAATGCATCAATCTGAAGACAGTAGTAACAGTAGCTGTAGGTCATCTACACTGATTGCTGATTCTAATCAATGACTTTTACATTTGAAAAAAATAGAATAGAATAGAATAGAATAGAATAGAATAGAATACTTACACCTGCTATCAACATAACATACATTTAATCAGCTTAGTATATTCATTAAATAAATAGTAATTGTGCAATAAAATGTGCAGAGGTGTGTTCTCTACAGAGGATGAACTTTTTTTAACTTAGAAAACCAACAAAACATAACTTCACCCGGGTGCCAAAACTTTTGCACACAGCGTATTATACATCAGCGCAGAGAACAGTGAACTATAGGCTTGCAAATAAATGATAACCTGGCACACTGCAGTGGTTTTCTAGGGCACTTTAACTGTACAACATGCTCCAAATAAAACCGCAGCTGATTAAAAAGCCGTAACTCTGAAATAAATCGGCACATTCTGTTTACAGCACGTACGCCATACTAACAGCACAGGCAGTAAGGACAGCATATGGGAGCAGTTGTTGGCATCGTCGCAATACCAGACTGCAGCCACACTGTGAGCTTAAAAAGTATGGCTGCTGAAATGGATCTTTTACTTCAGTGCAGACTGTACTGTAGGTCACGTATGGCTTAATTACTAATACAAACAAAACTAGCTTCCTCACACTCCTCAAAAAGACGGTTTGTCAAGGGTTCTTTAGTGAAGACAATGGTTCTATACAGACCCATGAACAGTCAAAAAACATTTGCATGCTTAAAGAGTTCTTAGCATTGTGAAATGGTTCTTCAGATTGATGGAGAATGTGTTGTATATGGTTCTATGTACACTCTAAAAAGTGATGTGTTAATTAACAACACTTGTTACCGGTTTTAACACTTTTTGTGTCAAATTGTTCTCTGATTTAACACATTCTGTGTTAACAATAACACAAAATGTGGTTTCCATAACTGGGCACAGAAATATTTCAACACACTTTGTGTTAAAAGTAAAACAAAATGTGTCGTTTCCAACTGAACACATTGATGTGTCTAGTTAGAGATAGAATGTGTTGTTTTTTAGCACATCTGTTTTATGAGTAAGTAGAACCTTTGTGAAAATGAAAAAGGTTTCTTCTATTGTTACAAACCTGACATCGCAACAAACTGCAGATTCTAAACTTTCAATCCATGCCACATTTGTGTCTGTAAGTGGAAGAGGCAATATTTTATTATGATTTAAATTTTGGCAAGCACAACATTTTTTTTTACTTTTTATAATTTAAAAGTACATGTCAATCCAAAATGTAAATGGAATATAAAGGTAGTTTTTATACAACTTAAAATGTAAGTGTAACTCATTATGTAATTATGCAGCTCACAATTTAATTATGCAATTGCATGTAAATAAAAACATAATGTCAAGCAAATACACAGCAAAACAATATCCCTTTTAAAGGTGATTGGTAGTAATTGGTGGTTGTATATTAACTGAACATGTCAAAACAATGTTGATTGTGAATTGGATTAAAAATGCACACCCCCAATAAATAAACAAATAAATAAACAAACAAATGTTGCCACCAGTACATGTGGAATAGCTTTTTTCTAGGAACTATTGAATAAAGTAATAATTACCGCATCACTGTTGGCAATTAATTTACTTACAGCACTCAGTAGGATCAAGACATTTGAACAGTTTTTAAAGCAGCTTTGCTAATTGAGGCGAATAAGAGTTCAGTTGGCTTAACTGTGTCAATGTTTGTCTCTTGAATTCAAACACAAAGCCTCATCTCTAAATCCCTGAGGGCAAAGCGATGCTACTCACACTGACTCAGGTACAAGCCGGGCACATTTGCATGCATGGCAGCGTCATTGTGAGGACACTGTGTGTCGGGTGTGCTGACAGTGCCAATCCATTCTCATCTGACAGCTTACTAATGTCATCAGCACATTCACAAGCAGTGTGGAACTGATAGAGACAGGAGAGAGTGAGATTGACACACACACACACACACACACACACACACACACACACACACACACAGTAGGTTGTATTCCTGTCTTTGTGGTGTGTTTCCGTGTTCTTCTATGTGTAGAGATGGCACAATACCACTTTTTCTTTTCTGATCTCAATATTAAAACCTTGAGTATCCAAAGATACTGATTCAATATTTCTACTACACTTTAAAATAAGCTAGTGCTCACTGTAAAACATTTTAATTGAACTTCATTTAAAGCTACACTACGTAAGTTTTGGAGATTTGGGGACCACTCTGGTGGAAATGTGTAACTGGACGCAAGAAAAAGAGCATTTTGTAACGTCACTTTGGAGACCCTTTCCCCAAGCGGATGATTCTGATGATTGTGAGAGAGACAAAACTTGGTGAAGAACGTGTCTTCTAAGGATGGCTTTTCAGGGTGAATCATAGCAGCACATGGACACCATAATTTAACATGTTTTTCCCCTGACCAAGTAAAGATACTTCTTTTGATTTTAACAAAAAACAACAAACAAACAAGATGAGCATCTAAAAGTAGGCTAATATGCTAATAATTTGATAAGGCAAAAAGAGGGTAACACACACATATTGAATTTTGGCTGTGAAAAGGTTTTTGCCATTATCATGTAATGTAAACAAAACTAAACT